GAAATTCTTAAATATATAAATGTTTGATTATTTGACTCTAATGGAGTTTTTTTTATATTCAAGTATTGAAATTAAAACAATAAACTGCATACCTCCAAGGTTTTGTCCTGGGACATTACTTGGCCATTTTGGTATTCAACAAAAACTACGTAATGAGGAACTGTTTCTTTTGAAGTCTTGATGGCAGCACTCTCAGCACAGCAGTAGTCAGCCAACTGTGAACCTGTTTTTGAACATAGTAAAAAACAAAGCAAATGTAACACAAATGGAATTAACACAATTTATCTACTGGACAACCTGCAAAACTCAACTCCCAAGGAAACTTATGTATGATCTATCCTGATAACTATGAATGGAAAGTCAGGGAGTTAGTCCCTGCTATACACATGTATTGTACACAAAATCAGACAGCAGTGACTAGATGATGAGCAAAGCCTTTTGTGATGTTCAAAAAGCAGGTGAATATCTAACTGTTGGATAACTTGATGTATAACGTGTTTTGATTTGCCTCCAGATGACATGTAGTTCATGGGTGACTTAGCCTGGCATTGGGTGATATGTAGTTCGCATCAAGGTTGACTTTGTAGTGGTTACGAAGGATGAGTCATTCATGACATGTTACTACATTTTATGCATTCCTTGTAAGGTACTGTCATGCCCACACATCATATGCCCTGAGGCATTGCCTTAAAGACAATATAACATGTAATGCTGTTACTGGCTATTCTTTTGTATAAAAAGGGCAATATTTACCACATAAATAATTTGCCTACATTCTCTTACTGCTGCTGTGAACCTGTAAGCAACCTTCCCTCTATTTTAGATGATCAGTCTCATGTCAACAAGTCAGAATGCCATATGGTGCTCTGCCAATTTGACTGTCTTGAAGTATGAACACACAAAAGGGAAGTACTGAATCCATGGGAGTAAAAGCTCTGTATGTAACTGTATACAAATATATTTCTTAAGAATAAGATTTGCAAAAGTAAAAGAAAATCTTGTTTTAATCCCTTAATAAAAACATTCCAACTTTTACACACCTAATTAACTGAATCGGACCCTAGTTTACATTTAAAAGCTACAACAGATTTGATCTAGTAATTAGAATAAATATGCACCTCTGAAAATCATATTTTAGATATGTGATACAAAAAGAAAGCATATTGCTTTATTGATCCACTGCAATAAGTTTGACACACTAGCTGAGTCTAAAATAGGCCCAGGAGGCCTAACAAATCTGAAATTCTACCAGAGGCAATGAATTAAGCATATTAAATGAGACATTCCTTGTCATAATAATTATCTACATATGACTAGAAGGTGATGAAAGTAAACAATGGAATTCAAAAAACTGCACTCGAAGCATACAAAGTGATGAATCATACCTCAATTTCCTAAGTGAAGATTCATACTGCAATCAATTTTAAGTTATTATGGAATCCATTATTTTCTATCTATAACCAAAATGGCTGTTGGTGCATACAGTTCCCTGATGGCCTATTGTGGTATGGGCAGATGGTGATGAAAAACAGAAGTAAAAATCTTCAGAATTATTCAAGTTGTGAGATTGTACTGCAACTTCATGTCTGCTTGTAAGGTATCTTTCTGTTTCAAGTTAACATAAAAAGGCTTTCACACATATTCCAAGCCATTTCAGTGAGGAGTAACTACAATGGAGAGGGCTACAAAACTAGATCAAAGAGTTGATGACATCTGTCTCAGGATGTATAAGTTTAATAAATATTTTTGTATATTTCCAAATGTTGATTAACATGTAAAAAAAAAAAAAAAATCAGTAACCATAAAACAAGAAAACCTACCAGCTATTTTTTGCAGACTCCGATAAAATGCTTCTTCACTCAACTTTTCACCTCGTACATTCAAAAGCTGTCCTTGCCTGTAAAAACAATCCACTGAAAGAAGACTATCATACAGGTTTAGAGAAAGCACTGTGTTGTAAAATGTGTACAAAAATGTAAAGCAACTGCAGTACTACAAAAATGAATCACAAATTAAGTATTCTATAATAGATACTTAAGTATTGTTTTTCTTGAACAGTAAAATACACATCTGAATATTGTGAACACAATGGTGCCCCCAATGGTGCAATATCAGCAAAACAAAACATATGAAATATACATATTCCCAACAGTGCTTACAATATTCTGAAAATATATAATAAAAAAAAGGAGAACACAAATTTATCCTAATTTTTTTCACACTATTCAAATTGACATGTTTTACAAAGTTTTCCTTTAATGTATCATTAGTTGATCATATACTTTGTAAAAAAAAAAAAGAAAAAAAATAATATGGCAAACAGGGAAGAAAGAAAGAAGGAAAGAAAAAGAAAAATCCACTCTGCCTACCGATACATGAATTCAACTGTTGGGGCCTTCTTGTAAAATGAGTTGATCTTCACAACATCTCCAAGTCGGTAACGGTACAATCCACTATTATTTGTAATCACCAACTCGTATGTTTCTCCTTCTTTCACCTTAAAGACACAACAAATTAAAAAAAAGTGAAATTTAAAATGGTGAGAAAGAGAGAGAGTGAGAGTGAGAGAGAGAGAGAGAGAGAGAGNGCCGGTAAGATGCTTAAAAGGAACATTTTCCCTTAAAGTAACAATTTCGAAGAAAAAGAAGAACCACGTCCGGCAGCCGGTAAGATGCTTCGACAAGAATTCCACCTTTTGCGTTTAACCGGTTCATTCCCAACAGACAGAAAGGGAAATAGATAACAGAAAGGGAAATGGATAAATAGATAAGAGTTATGAGATTAGGAATTAGAGAAAAAACAAGGGAGAATGTATATAAAGAGAGATGCATTGGAACCAAGGAGATGGGAAGAAAATTATGGAAGAGGTAATACGTGTAAGATAGAGAAAAGGAGAAAGGGAGTAAAGAAAAAAAGAATATGGAATTGAGAAAGAATACATGGAGAAAGGTAGTAAAAAATAAAAGCATATGGAAATGATACAGAATACATGGAGAAAGGTAGTAAATAATAAAAGAATATGGAAAGTGAGAAAGAATACATTAACAAAGAGCAAGGTCATTAGCCAAGAATCAGACGAAAAAGGGGACACAAAAAATCTGATGAAGCAATTGGGAACTAAATAACTGCCAGATTACTTTACTCTTATTTCTCAAAAATAATAATGATAATGGTAACAACAATAAAAAAATAAAACATATATAAAGATGTAAGATAATGATTATGCTAATGCTAATAATAAGATAACAATACTGATAACGATGATAATCATTATTGTTATTATTACTATTATTATTATCATCCTTATTATTATTATCATTATCATTTTCATTTTCATTACTATTACAATTACTATTATCATTATCATCATCATTGTTGCTATTATCATCATCATCATCATTATTAATACTGCTATCGTTGTTGTTGCTGCTATTTATCAATCATTATCATTAGGAATAGGGGCATTAACAATGATTTTGAATAGTTATGATAATATTATTACTAACATTATTATTACTATCATTCATTGTTGATAACGATAATCATGATACTAATAATGATAATAATGATTATCATTATCATCATCAAAATAACAACAACGATAACAACAACAACAGCAACAACAAACAACCAAATGAACAAACAAATAAAACCTCACAACCAGGAAAATGTTGCCTAAATTCATTCAACCTCGAGAGGAGATCTGCCTGGGTGGAAAACGGGAACAGAAAGACGGGGGAATAATATGAAAATCCTTGTGCCGAGTCGAGGTTCTCGCGCTGGGCTCTTTAAGGGGGGGGGGGGGTCGGCTTCCCTTTTGATGTGTTTTTCTTCGTTGGTTGTTGTTGTTGTTGTTTTTGTTGTTGTTTTTTGCTTTTTGTTTTTGGTGTTTGGTCTCTCTGTCCCTTTCTTTCTTACTTTCTCTTTCTCTCTGTCTGTCTGTCTGCCTGTCTGTCTCTGTCTCTGTCCTCTCTATCTATCTATCTATCTATCTATCTATCTATCTATCTATCTATCTCTGTGTCTTTCCTCTGTCTGTCTGTCTGTCTCTCTCTCTCTCTCTCTCTCTCTCTCTCTCTCTCTTTCTCTCTCTCTCTCTCTCTCCTCCTTTCTCTCTCTTCCTCTCTTTCTCTTCTTTTTCTTGCTTCATGAAGTCGATTCGATGATCAGAAGGAACAGCAAATCTGACATCCTTCCTCAGTCCTGAAGAAATCCTATAGTACTTTCCCCCTTTCGCTCGCAGTGACTGTACGGGGTATTACTGTAAGTCCATAAGCATTTTTTTTTTTTTTTTTGTCACTAAGAAGTATTTCTGCATTACATAAATCATCTGATTATTGATTTTGCCCATCTAGTATTTGTCGCTTTCATCGTGTTGTATTTTAGCTAACTTTTGGATACTTACATTGATGGTAGTAAGTTTGTTTTTGTTTCGCTTTACACTTACGAAATTAACACTCGTTTCGATGGCCACCCATCTTTTGTTTTGATCTTAGTCGTTTTGATAATAGGGTTCTGTGATGGTTTAAGAAGCGACGTGGTTTCTTGTTCAATTCTTGACCATTCCTTCTGTCTTTTTTATTTATATTATTTTTTTTTGCTCTTTCTCCTTTTTTTAATATCCTTGCGATTTCTTGTTCAATTCTTGACCATTCCTTCTGTCTTTTTTTTGTTTTTGTTTTTTTCTTTTTCTAACATCCTTGCGATTTCTTGTTCAATCTTGACATTCCTTCTGTCATTTTTTTATTTATTTTTTTTTTTGCTCTTTCTCTTTTTTTAACATCCTTGCGATTTCTTGTTCAATTCTTGACCATTCCTTCTCTTTTTATTTCTTTGGTTGCTCTTCCTCCTTTTTAAATATATTTTGCAGTTTCGAAAGGTGTAGAGCCATAGAAGAAAAATTCCCACGAAATACACGGAGCAAAGTGAGGAAACAGAGCCGTGAAAGACACAGGGCCGCGATAGAGGTAGAGCCACGATAGAGGTAGAGCCACGGAGAA